TCTCTCTCTCTCTCTCTCTCTCTCTCATCCTGCGTTCGTTCTCCTTTTCGTCTGCTATTCCTTCCTTCCCATCTCTCTCTCTGTTTTCCTGTCCGTCGTGCATCCGCTCGCTTCCCTGCCTCTGTTTCCTGCTGTCTCTTCTGCCACTTCCCTCGTCTCGCCGTTCTTCGCTCTATATCTCTCCCCTTTTCCTTACGTCTCCCCTTGAACACCACCTTATGTCTCTGCACCCTCTTCCCTTTGCTCTTCATCTCTCCCTCTTCCCTGTTTCTTTTCCCCCTCGCCTGAACTCTCCCTCGTATTTTCTACTTCCATTCGCCTTTTCTTGTCTTCTCACGCTTTTTCTATTCTCAGTACTCTTCTTTTCCGGTCCTCTCTCCTTCTCGCTGTCTATTTACCTCTCTTCGCCTGCTCCTCCTTTTCTTCTCTGCTTCTCTGGTCCTCTCAGCTCCCATCTGTCTCTTCGCCTCTCCCCTCTTTCCTCCTCTCTCTCTCGCACACTTTCTTTCTCTGCCCGTGGGCTCGCCTCCCTGTCTACCTTCTCACTCTTCCTTTTGTTTCCTTTTTCCCTCTTTTCGTGTTTTCTCACCCTCTTACTCTCTATCCTTCTCTTCCCCCTCCTGTCTTCTCTTTTTCTCTTCTGCTTTTCTCCTTTCGTGTCCCGTCTGTTATTTTTCCTCTCTCTCTCCCCCCCCCCTACGTCTCCCTCCCTCCCTCCCTCTTTTTCTTCTCTTTCTCCCCTCCCCCACTCTCGCGTTCTCTGGTGCTCTGCTCTGCTCTCTGCTGCTTTCAGCTCCCGTCTGTTCGTTTCTTCTCTCTCTCTCTCTCTCTCTCTCTCGCTCTCTCCCCCTCTCTTCTCTCTCTCCCTCCTCTCCCTCCTCTCCCTTCCCTCCCTCCCTCTCCCTCCCTCCCTCTCCCTCCCACGCCCTCCCTCTCTCTCCCTCTCTCCCGCTCTCCGTCCCCCCCCTCTCTCTCTCTCTCTCTCTGTGCTCCCAACGCTCCCCGGGTCCATCACTCCCTTGCTTTCTGACTCGTGTCTTTTCCCATGGCATGTCTTCACCATGTAACGAATGTCGTGCGAATCTTTGGTGCTTCGTTGTCAGTATGCGCTGAGAGGCTTGAACACAAGGAATACTCGGAATGAACATACTGAACCACAAGAGCTGAATCGAAGGGAGGGCAGCAACCAGGTCGACTTGGAAAACAACAATTGTACAGAGTATGCAGTCAGTCCACTCAATCCACTAAGTCCACTGAGTCCTCCAACAATCGTGATCAGGGAAAGAAACGTCGGTGAGTGACCTTCTGGTGACTGGGATGGTTTTTAGCGGTCACAAACGACCAGGTTCATCCCGTTTCTGCCCGCTAATCGTGCATGGAGAACAGTGCCTCGGAAGTACTGTTGGTTTATGAATGAAAATTTTGAATGAAATGCAGCTTTTTCTTTTCCAAACAGAACAAGATTATCGATAATGCCTATGGAATAAGCTGCTGCTCCTAAAATCGTTTCAATGGTTGCGCTGATGTTGTCAGGTCAGTTACAATGCTTGGAAAAGTGCTTAGGGGAAAAAAAAAAACCTAGTGCCTGTCATGCAATAAATCATAGACTGCAATTCTCAGTTGGCAGATATAATAATTGCAGGGCGGCTCTGTCCAGGCCAAGGGTGTGACCGGCACGCGCGTCGTGGTATATATGCCTCCTCGCGATGTAGGTCATAACTGAAAGCAGCATGCAAAAGTCGAAGAAGAACGGGTATGTACAGCAGGAGACTGCAATGGTGTTTTATGTTCTAAGTAGGCAATTAGTAGTTGTGACCGAGACCGAAAACAACTGGTGTTATTTTAACTTGTGTACAAACTTCTGGTTACACGACGCTGGCAATCCTTCGGAAAGCAGGAAATCAAAGTAGTCAAAATAGTCATTATATAACTTCAGAAGGAATTTTGAAAGGTGGATGAAGAAGAAGTCCCTAGCAGTACACTCACTATAAGTGAACGGTTCTCGGTTTGCAAACAGCGCTTGAGAACTATCCATGCAAAGATGGAAGAAGAAGAAGAAGACGGAGAAGACGAGAGAAGAAGAAGAAGAAGACGAGGAGAAGACGAAAGAAGAAGAAGAAGAAGAAGAAGAGGAGGAGGAGGAGGAGGAGGAAGAAGAAGACAGCAAGAAGGAGAAGTATGCACGACACACAGGGAGGGAGATTGTGTGGGTTGTGTATCCAAAAGGTGGGGTTCTTTTTAGTTAAAAAAAGAGAGAAGAAGTTGGTACTGAATAGAATGAAAGAGAGGGCACGGGTATATAAGATATACTGCGCCAAAGATAAAGATTGCCCTTGTCGTTTTTTGCCGTTAGAAACGGCAAAACAGGTGTTGTGTGTGTGTGTGGGGGGGGGGGGAGTGCTTTGGGGGGCTTTGGCATACCGGAGAGACGAAAAAGAGGAGCATTACATAGGGTAGGGTTCACCCGATCATAGGCCGTGAGTGTATATTTTGAATGTATCCGTCCCCTAATCAGTTCCAGATACATTTACATTATTGTGTAGTGTGGAGTGATGTCCATGACGACCATGCGTCGGATTCAGAAGCAGATGGTAGAGGGTTGCCAGAAGCAAGAGGCAGCACCGACAGAGAGAGAGAGAGAGAGAGAGAGAGAGTACTGGAAGTAGGACTTTACTGGATGTACGATGACCTCGACCACGACCAGGTTCAGCGGAAAAGAAACCTACAGCCCTAAGGTGAACAAGTAGCACAGCAGCGTCAAGGGGCTAACTCCTATACTCAAGATTCCGCACGTGTATCTGGACTGTGTGCGGACTAGTTACATACGGACTGATGTAACCTTTCGACTGTATTGGGACCATTTCGAGCTCCGGATGCATTTAGAATGTTGTGCAGTGAGCGAGGCTCTGACGGCCAAGC